GGAGCGCTTGTCACCATTTGGGTCGTGGGTGAGTCGGAGCCTTTCAGTTGAATTTGGGCAAGAGGTGGGGTACACCCTCGACTAGTCGCCAGCCAATCACAGATGACAGTATGAAAGCAAATAAAAACAGCGTTGACGAGGACAAGTCTCGCTGCGTCAGGGTGACATTGATACAAGCTCTTTCATCAAAGTTTTTCGGCGACATTGCGCAACTGTCTTTCCATTCACATGCACAAATAATGTAAAGAGCTGCCTGAGAGGGGACAATATTAAAGAGGAAAAAAGGGCTTTCGCGCATCATTGATGAAGGTCACCATTTCGGTGCAGTAAGAAGCAATTCACAAGATGGATCTAATTTGTCGCACCTTGTTTTCTGAACAGGGCTTTTTTTCATGATCATTATGAAGCATGCTAATGAGCTGCGCATGGCTGATAAGTTCTCTAATGCAACCGAACGCTGCTTTGTGCTGTGAGCTTACAGCAATCATTAGCCGACACTCACGGCTACCAGGAGATGAGGAGGGCCACAAGGATGAAAGAGAAAAATCAGATAATAAGGAATGGAAGGAAAACAAGAAGAAGGGCTTTGCCGCATTATTCAAGTTCTGCTTTCTTTCCTCTTAGCGACTGCCTGAAAACTAAATACAAGTAAAACCAATACATTCTAATTAAAATGGAATTTTTGATGTTGCAATGAAACTTTGATGACTCCATCAGGAATGGTTTTCATCACCCAAATTGCACCTGCTACGGACACTCGGAAAACCAACTCGTCAAATACTAGAAAATAGTACTTTGTAGTTCTTAAACACTGATGTTACCTAAATTGTAAGCACAAGCAGGTATTGAGCAGTGCAAAAGGAACACTGGTGGCGCACCGTGGACAACTTGAATCCTCAAATCAACTCAACTCATCTTTATTTATAGAGCAACAATTAAGAATGATAAAATGTGACCTAAAACATTGAGTGCCAAGGTCGACAGGGCGGCCCTCTTCGGCCTCAAGATGTCGCTGGCTGTGGAGAGCACCAGTGTCACACGTGCTTTTCATGCGTTCTTCATGGGCCTCACGGGTCGCTCAGGCACAGGCTGAGTCCTCGCACTGGATTAATTAATTCCTTATAATAATAAAAATTAGAAAAATGCCAGCAGAGTGTGCTTGTCCACCTTCATTCTTGCACATGTAATTTTTAAACAGATCATATTGACCAATCATCAAGGTGCTCCCTCAGGGAGGGGCAAAGATCTAAAATCATCCATCCATCCATCCATCCATTTTTTTAATCCGCTTTTCCTCACGAGGGTTTTGGACATTCTGGGGCCAAACCCAGCTGGACTGGTTGCCGGCCAATCGTAGGGCACACATGGACGAACTGGTCTAAAACCAAAATTACAATTTTATTCTTCATCTATTCACTTTCTCTATTTAACATATTTGCTTGGAATTGAAAATACAGTGTTTCACCACTTTTTTAGGGGGGTTGTTTGTCTGTTTGTTTTTTTTTGCTTTGTTTTATTTGCTGTTGTTGCTGTTTTTGTTGTTCATTTTGCTGTGATTACAAGTACTGTTTCTTTTTTCTGAACTCAGTATGTTTTTGGTTGTTGCTTTTGATTGTTTTATATATTTAATTATTTTAGACGGGACTTTTCGTTTGAACTCAGACTGCTGTCATTATTTGGAGAATCTCACAAAATGCTCTCTGCACAGAGCTGCACGATGGGTTCTTATATGTTGCGTTCATTTGTGATTTTCTTTTTTTCCTTTTTTGGTTTTTGTTTTTGTCGCTGAAGTAATTCATTGTAATTTTTTTAAAAGTGCTATGATCGCCCTCTGTGGCCTCCGCCTGCTCTGGCAGCAGCCACTGTGGCATGTTTCTGGAATTTAAGAGAAGCTGTAGTACCTGAAAAAAAATTATATTAAAAGAAAATCAATAAATTAAATCAAAAAATTATGTTCAATTAGAAATAAGATTCAATAGAATAGAATCGAAGAAATCTGTTATAGAGTCAAACTGACATTTTCACAAAACCTTTGTTACTTTGTAACTACTCGTTTCTATAACCGTACATAAGTAACAAACGCAATGTAAATATGAAAACTTCAGAATTTTCGCTCGGCTCTATTACACTTTTTTTCTACCCGAAAATACATTCAGGGAGATTTCACAGATGACATCATCGATGTTGTTGTATACTGGTAAAGTTTCAGAACATTCGGACAAGGCATCCTGGGTTCACATACCAATTAAAAGTGGCCAATCGATTAATTTTCGAATCAATTTTATAAAAATATTCAGTGGATATCATTCAACGGAATTTATCTTTCATGGTTATTCAGTTAAGAAAAAAAAAACACTCTAGTTTTCCATTTTTCGTTCATAGAAATGGATGTTTTGTCAATTTTAGTTTTAGTTCGCGTCGTGCGCTCTCTTTTTAACTTGTTTTCTTCTCTTTGGGAGGGGTTAAGGTCATCACAATCAGCATTTTGAGCAGCAACACAGAATGCAGTCTCGTGCATGAGCAGGCAACTTTGCTTATCTGCAAAATAACTGGTCAGCATTCAATGGTACTTACATTTTAGCACTGTTATTCATTTATTCATTTTCCGATCCGCTCATCCTCACAAGGGTCGCAGGGGATGCTGGAGCCTATCCCAGCTGTCTTTGGGCAGTAGGCAGGGGACGCCCTGAACCGGTCGCCAGCCAATCGCAGGACACACAGAGACGAACAACCATCCACGCTCACACTCATGCCAAGGGACAATTTAGAGTATTCAATCAGCCTGCCATGCGTGTTTTTGGAATGTGGGAGGAAACCGGAGGACCCGCAGAAAACCCACGCAGGCCCGGGGAGAACATGCAAACTCCACACAGGGAGGCTGGAGCTGGAATTGAACCCGGTACCTCTGCACTGTGAGGTCGACGCACTAACCACTGGACCACTGGGCCGCCCCATTTTAGCACTGTTATATGTTAAATTCCCATTACAGTAGTTCGAAACACTTTTTATGTGGGCTCTCAATTAGTTGCAGATTTTCACATTTTACGGGAGGGATTGGTCGCTAATAGCGGTTACGGATTCACTGTAGCACATTTTGGCTGCTAAATACTTCTGCCTGTGCTGTTTCACTCGATTCCCAAAATGTAGCTGTGACATGGGATCATTGAGAAGAACATCTGGTCAATCCAATTCTATGCAATTGCCAAGAGTCATTGATTTATATCATACCTGTCATGCATGACCCTACTCACTACGGCAACACAATCACCTTGATTGCTATAAGTTGCGACTTGGGAGGACAAAGAAGGATGAAACTGTGGACCGATCTGAAGAATCCAGAATACAAATATAGCCTTTGGTAATGTCTCATTATGGTGTGTGATTGCTTCCCATGCAAAATATGGGCATGACATCATCTCTGTTGGCATTCCAAGCCCTCTCTGGGTCTTTCTAAGAAAGTGAATCACCCTTTCACTTTTTCCTGCCTCCCACTGTTGCCGCCTCCCCTCTATCACAGCCGAGTCATCGTGACACGCCTCCGTGTGTCCTTGGTCACCATCTCCTTCATCTCATGCGGCTTAAACAAGAGACAGCAAGTCAGAGTAGACCATGTTTAATTTGGGGATATTCCAAAAAAAAATCTTTGAGAGAATATTCGGCCTCTGTGACACCCCTCATCTGCCTTTGAACATCAGCTTTTTTTTTCCACACACGCACTCTAATAAGAATGACTGAAAGAAGAATGAAGACTGCTGGTTTTAGCGGAAGGCAGATGACACCACAAAATAAAAAGAGTCAATTTGAAAGTGCTATTTTTAAACGTACCACCAGACTGTTTCTTTGCAGTTTTCTATATCACTGTTGTCATGACAACAGCTCACTTTGGGCTTCATTTACTACGATACCAAATACCAGACTCTAAATTGTATGTTTGCTTACTTCAACAAATTGCAAATGTGTCAAAGTGGTTCCCACTGTCTTTAAAAGAGGAATTTATGCTTTTGGTATCTCAGACTGTTTTCACCACGCAACAGTACCACAAGCGGAAAATGCAGTTTGAAGTGATGGAATTGGAAATGTGCACGACAACAAAACACATTCATATCTCAAAACATTTTGGATGAAGCCATCAAGCGCAAAAAAGTCATGATTTGTTGAACTGATCACGAGTCCCAATCATGAATAACATTGCGTTTAAAACTTGGGACAGCACACCCACAAAAATGTTTGTTGTGTTTGGTGATGTGTGTGATCCACACGTAAAATGAGAAGTTGAATTCGCGTGTTGTTGAAGTCCCGTCTCCACGAGTGAAAACGTGTTTCTGCTTGCCTTTCCCTTCAGACTGTGGCTTGCTCGAGAGCAACTAGCTTCTCGCCTCATTGCAATGCCCAAGCTGCGCCCCTGTTCAACATGATAACGCCCCATAGAGTAGAAAAACGAAGCAATCCCAGGTGAAGTGTTCCAAAAGCATATTCGGTGTGCTGTAATTCGATACATTTTGTGTAAATTACACCAAAGCTTTCAAAGACCATTTACAAGAACACCATGGAATTGTTATAAATTGTAGAAACATCTTCTCATTTAATTCGATACTGTGATGTAAGTGCAAAAATAAGAGTATCTTAGCAGTTGCGATATTTTCCCCGCCCCTCCCAATCCTGTTTCACATACAAAAAAAGAGAGCACATAAAGATGTCAAAAAAAGAAACCCTCACCTTAAAAAAAATAAAAATATACATTCCCCTTTTGTGACTGTGAATGAGAAGGTACACATAGTGACAGTTTGAAGTGCGGGTGAAGCTTTAGCACGCAGCTGCAGCACATCTGCTGCAATAAACGTAATCAAATAGACACTCACCATCGATATCACAACGGTGAGCTTACCGGTTGGGAATGTGTTTCATTTATACTATACACTATATCACAGCACAGCAGATGTTTCTCTGTTATATCATTTTGGACACTGGGAACAGTCTGTTCCATCAAGAGTTCTTCTTACCTTATAATGACGTACATCACCAGGAAGTTCCCCACCAGGCCGACGACGCAAACGATCATATAGACCAGCACAATGGTGACCCTCACTCCGGTCGGCAGCAGGGCGTCGGTTTCATTGTCGGCGCTGCTGAAGTTGTTCCCGAAGAAGGAGTCGTTGTAAAGCTGCAGGTGACTCAGCTCGGCCAGCAAGAGCTCGTCGGGGAAGTCCATGTCCGGGCGAGGTCACAGGGCGAGGAGATGCCTGCTAATTAATCAATCTGACCAGAGAAGGACACAAAAGAACACAGAGTCTCTCTCTACTCGTCCAAACGAAAGATATCGCCCCATCCTATGAAAACAATCAAATTCGTTTTTCATTCACGTATGTTGGAACAGTCTGACCCTGATTCTGTTGAGTGAAAACAGACCTTTAATGTCCACCAACTGCCCCAAACATGAATCAAGCTAGGTTATTTACGTTTGGTTTGTCATGTGAGTCTACTCTCACCCACTAGTTAAAATGAAGAATGATGTCACATAAAGGGGAAAAAAAGTAGACTAACTGTACATTTTATCGTAGAGATATGAAACATAATTGTTGTCATTTCCCTACATGTACAATGGCAACAGTTAAGCATTCTTTCACCGCTGATGACTCCTCCCCATCGTGACACAGTTTGCGACTCATGTTAAGATCATTTTGGTCAAGGACTCGGGTTTTCTCACTCTCACAGTGTCAAAGAGAGAAAGTCAAGTTGTCAAGACAATAAGTGACGGAATAGTGTCCCTGAAATCGGTTTATAACAAATCGGAATGGAATTTAGTTTTAATTTGAATTATAACGCCACCTAGAGGTAGGGCTGGACATTCATCAAAATTTAATCCTGATTTCGATGTTGGCTTCTCACAAACGTTATAATCAAAGAAAAACAAATTCTGCGCCGAACACCTTGTTGAAGATTCAGTTCAGTCATTTGGTTGTGAAGAAACATGCGTATGGTGATGCAGTGCTTGCTTTCCTGCACCAGCTGCTGCACCAATACCTCAAATTGTCGCCACGAACCGACTCTTGCACTCTGCCTCTCTTTGGTCATGAATATTCATCGAAACAGTAACTCTGTGGCTGCAGCATCCCCGCGGTTACTGCCAGCCTCAATACATGTGAGCTATATATGCGTTCGACACCCCCCCGCCCCCCTCCCACTCTTCTTTCCTGCATCCCGCCGCACTGATACGCGATCCACCATCCACATCCAGTCAGTCACTGCAGGGCGGAAAAACAGGGTGCATTAGTGCAATGCAATGTGTTCGTTTTATGATGACAGGTGCTCATGACAGTTCTTGGGGAAGAGAAGGCGTCACATTTTAAACCGATGCACGGACGCTGTGGTAGGGTAGTCAGCATGTGTGTGGCATTACCTAACAAGCATCTTGTATGTCCATGTTTTTTTTCTTTTTTGGGGGGGGCGGGTGGTTTGCGTGCATGTTAACTCTTAGGCAGTCTTAGGCAGACTATAAAGCAGGTATCGTATGATTTGTTTTCTTTGTAATTCCTCCAGAGCCACGAGTGAATCAATACATGCTATGGATGGGCATAATAATAGACTCATTGATTCTTTACTGTTTAGCCGATTGTGTGGAACTGAAAGTTGAGTGATGTTTCGAAACCCAGCAGAGCTGTTAATTCAGTCTACACCGAACTGGATATTTTAGTTGTAATGGGGAAATGAGCTCCAATGTTGGGGAAGCATAATTTTGCTCAAGGCAACATTGCCATTGAAACAGGAGCTCAAAAGAGACAGATTCTCTCATCGCATTAAAAACATGTACTAGTACACAGGTGTCAAATTCAAGGATCTGGCCCACCAAATCATTTTATCAGGCGCTCCAAAGCAAGTCACGTGTGTCAACTCCCATGACCCTTGCTCAAATCTGTAGAAAGAAAAAATAAATTATAAATAGTCATGCGTTATAAAGAATGACATTGAGATTATGCAAGAATTTTCTGTTACCCTTTTTTACAATAACTTGAACAATAATCAAACTAATTACTATCCTGAGCTTTTGATTTCAGAACAAGTAACTTATCAATTGGTTGTGTCTTCGGTAATAATACGCTGAGATGATAACAGTGCTCACTTGGTTGCCGCCACACATGCTTGACACCATCTGAACCAATTAAGTTTATGTTGGTCTCATCAGGCCAACCAACAGGGCATGGCTCATGTAATCCATGTCTTTAATTTGCTTGTCCTGAGCAAATGCGGTTGAGGGTTTCTAGTGCCTCATTTTCAGAAAAGGCTTCTTTCTCAGGCAACGGCCACGCGAGAGCAGTTTGTTGCATTGTGTGGCGTATGCTGTTGACCCGTCACACCTTCAAAGCGGAAATGCTGGCAGCATTCAAATGTCTGTTTTTCTGAAGAAAACTTTGGGATACAACACTGATCACACGTACTCAACTTCCCGTTGACCGTCTTGTTAAAATGCTCTACGGTTTTAGCCACCATGCTGCAATTCAGTTCAATGTCATTGTCTTCATAAAGCAGAGCAACAATTCTCTTTTTTCCAGATCCTCAGATAGTTATTTGCCATGAGGTGCCATCTTGAACTACCAGCGACCAGTACGCGAATGAGTGCGATAACACAAAATGCAACACTGCTCCTCCTTCACACCTGAGATCTTCAAACAGTAACGAGTCATAGAACACAAGGGAAGAGGAGATAGCTAATTGGGCCCAATTTGGAAATTTTTACCGAGGTGTGCACCCTTGCCGGCGGTTTTGACATTAATTGCTGTGTGTTGAGTTATTTTAAGGAGACAGATTTTTTTTTGTTCTACAAGCTGTGCAATGACTACTTCACCTTGTAGCAAAGTGTCATCTACACTTTAAAATGCCTGCACGTACGGTCATAAAATTGTTTTCTACAATGTGAGGGGTGTCCTCACTTTTGTGAGATGCTGCGTATGCACTGCAATTAGCAAGTGGCTACTCCAGGGTGTACCTGCCTCTTCCTCAGCTCATCCACGAAACCTAATGAGGAAAAATGCTACAGAAAAGTGTCGACCCGTGTATTTATCGTATTTTTCGGATTATACGTCGCTCCGGATTATAAATCGCACAAAGCCAAAAAATGCATAATTAAGAAGGAAAAAAACATATAAGTCGCACTGGAGTATAAGTCGCATTTTGGGGGGGAAATTTATTTGATAAAATCCAACACCAAAAACATACACGCCATCTTGAAAGGCAATTTAAAATAAAAATAAAATAGAAAACACCACGCTGAATAAGTGTATGATATGCGAACGTTAAATGACGCATAAACAACCAACTGAGAACGTGCCTGGTATGTTCAAGTAACATATTAAGAGTTATTCAGATAACTATATCATAAAGAACATGCTAACAAGTTCACCAAACCATCAATGTCAGTCCAAATCACTAAATCCAATGAAATCTTCATTCTCTGTGTCACTTTAAAGCAACTCCACCAACTCCGGAGGTAGAAGATGGCAGCGCTTCCTCTTCTACATCGCTTACGTCATACTCATCGTGGTTTTATCAACACAGGCCTAGAGCGGCCTCTTGTGGCTTAATGTGAAAATAACATGTGAAATGATAAAATAATGTGTTAATAATTTCACCCATAAATCGCTCTAGAGTATAAATAGCACCCCAAGCCAAACTATGAAAAAAACTTTGACTTATAGTCTGGAAAATACGGTAAATTATATTCGGTGACAGGAGACTAAAAGTGAGCTAATCACCGGGAAGCTTGTGCCCTCCTGTTAGCTCAAATGAAAGCTCTTGTTTGGAAATGTTTCCACACTCTGTGGGTGTTGCGTGACTTCCTTTAAGTCGAGATGCCACCTGGCTGGCAAAGACAGTGTAAACCAAGTTGTGTGGCAGTGCGGAAGCATTTCAAGCAGCCATGATCGTGTTCCAATTCCTCACAGTGTTTCCGTTACCGTGGCCACACAGACGAGTAACAGCAGCCTGAGTGCTTCAGTCGTCTTTCTCATGTTTATTTTACTTATATATATGATGTTGTCACAAAATTCAAACAGTCAAGTGTTTTTACAATTTGGAATTCAACCAAATGCAATGGTTAGCACATCTGCCTCTTAGGTGAGAGATTCCAGGTTCAGATCTTGGCTGGTGAATGGAGTTTATATGTTTCTCAAGTTTTGTACTATACTTGAAAAACTTTATGTCAGGTTCATTGAAGACTCCGAGTCATGCCAAAGGAGTGAATGCAAGTGTGCGTGGTTGTGCTTTCTGCAGTCCTAGCCTTGCGATTGAATGGTGACACCCGGGGTGGACATCTCCTCTTGCCTAAAGTCATCCGAGATAGGGTGCAACTTACATGCAACCCGAATGAGGAGAAGCACAAAAGCTTCAAAAAATAAAATAAAATACATACCTATCTTTCTAGTCACATCAAAAATAAAAATGAAACACCATGCACAAACGTCATCAAATCAGCAGACATATTGTACGCTTTCATGAGAGCTTCTTTCACTGATCATCAAAGGATATGCACTCTCTGCATTTATTATGTTTTTTTCTTTTGATGTTGTGGGCTTTTTTGCACCACTTATTCAAAACCTCGGAATAGCCTCAACAGGGGAGAAACCAAGAAGCAAAACAGAAAAAGAGCACAAGAGAAGAAGAAAGCCAGACTAGAAGAACAATATACAGGAATTACGTTACAAGATGGAAGCGGACTCAAAGAAAAAGCAACAACACTGCAATGTCACCACATGTCGTCACTTATTATCAACGTTAAGGTCATCAGCATGGTGGGCGGGTACCGAGAGACATACAACACAGCCAGCTTTCTTATCCAGCTGGATTTATGGTTAGTGAAATGGGTGTCCGTAGGAACTTTATTTTCTCTGACTCTACACTAGTGTTGCTATAAAAATACTCTTGAGATGAAAAAAACTGTTAAGAAAATACAATGTTTGGCAACACTCTGGCCTTGTTATTTTGCCTCCTGACATTCGATCCTTTTAAAAAAAACACGTCTTATCCACTGTCCCAAAAATGTTGCCATTTTGATGATGGCAACAGTTCCGGAACTGATCAATTTGATTATTTTTGGAAAAAAAAAGTCTTTTTTCTTACATTGACCAGCTTCCTGTAATATATTCATTTTTTTTTAAAATAAATCACACACAATTTCAAAGAGGAAATTTTTCAGCCAAGAGGCTGGAAAAAAAAATGTCATCAAAGCAGCTGACCTTCCCTAAATGGAACGTGTGCCCATGAAGGACTGGCTGCATCTGTCTGATAAATACAGCACATGCTCAGTCCGTCAATAAATCTGTCTGAGCGTGTTTTGTTTTCCTGCTTCAATCCGTGTGTGCGTGTGTGTCTGCACTTTGATGAATATGCATTCAACTCACAGTCCAAAGTGTGTGTCCATGTAAGGCTTCCTTCTCCTCGACGACAACAGGAAAAACAAAGCCACCCTCTTGGTCCCAATCAGGTGCGCTTCTTGCATTATTAACATTACAAAAACCTAATCCAGTTTGATAACAAATGCAAACCGCATTTCCTTTCGTTTAAAAGTCTGCTCACGTGACTAAGGGAAAACAGGTCCCACTAACGTGAACATAACTCAGTGAAAACGGAAGATGAAGGAAGAGTTGTTTGGTCTCTTGGACTCGTCCAAATAGTTTTGGTTACATAAGTAGTCATTACTACCCGGGTGCGATGACACTGATGATGAAGAGCACGCACCAGCATGCACACACAAATGTGCCCACTCGCAGCTTCTGTTTCCACTGCAACCTCAGAATAGCTTGCTGCACCTTGCAAGAAACTGTTACTCACACTGAGTGAAAAGGGCGAACACAAAATGGGGTGCCCAATCCAGATTAAATGTCAATATTCTAGTGTCTATTCAACATTTTTATCTTTACATTCAATTTAGTGTGTATGCAGGTAGGATTTCTTGACAAAGTGACATCGCCATCTTCTGGCCTGGCATGTACAACACAATTTTTTAGTTTAGTAACTGTTTTTTTTTTTTTTGTCAAATAATAAAAGGTAATGTGACTGGGTTGTCTGCATTAGCAGTCTAGACAATGAAGGGGAAATGAAAACACAACAGCGCTGTGGCCCACTGTTGGTTCTGTTGTGAGTACTCAGATCAGCCAACCAACAACGCTTGACGTTCACAAACCCAGTTAAATCCATCCGTGATCCGAACCGCTCATCATTGCGAGGGTCGCGGCCATGCTGGAGCCCTTCCCAGCTATCTTCGGTCAATGGGCGGGGTACACCCTGAGTTGGTTGCTAGCCAGTCACAGGGCACATGTACATGAAACTATTCACACTCACAATTACACCTACAGGGACAATCTAGAGTGTTCCATTAACCTATAGTGCATGTTTTTGGAATTTGGGAGGAAACCAGAGTTCCCGAAAAAAAAAAAAATCCACACAGCCACGGAAAGAACATGCAAACTCCATACAGGAAGGCCAGAGCACAGAATCGAACCCTGGACCTCTGTATTGTTAGATGGAAGTGCTAAGCAGGCTACTACCGTGGCGCCCCAGGAAAATTCAGTCTAAGCCTATTGAATGTAAAGCGCCACACGAAATACTTTCGGCCTGTAAAACCATTTGCTGTTGTTGGTCATTAGCACATCACTAAAGCAACAATAAATAACGTATTGAACCTCAACGTTGTCAGATCAACATCATTCTTGACCTCACCAGAACACAAACATGAATACACTTTGCCATTAAACCAAATAAAAGCCTCACATCGTCCTTATCCACATTTTCCATCAAGTTATTTTGTGTACGAGTGTTGCCAGAAACGTCTTTGTTTTCGTTGCTAAGCAGATGAGGCGCAAACTATGGCAGGATCAACAACTCCAGTCAATAAATCACAGTAAAAAGACCCACAATGCATCACGCACGGGAGTGGAACAAGTCACCTCAGCCACACCGACAGACAGACAGGTGTTTATATAAGTACGTATACAATTCAACGCAACATTTTGCAGTCCTCTCCTTGTCGCGTGCAACCTGTCACTTAACGCACCGCGGTACAAACTGCAGCCGCATTTTTGCATACCGAACGCATCATCTGCACGGCGTGTTTGCCACAACCGACTGCAGATGTCTTAAAAACATTCCCCGCAATGTTCCGCACAACCTCACGTTCCGCTGCAGCGCGCTAGGTTTGGATGTAGTAAAGCCCGGTCTAGTCTAGGTCCCGTTCCTGGTCCTACCTTTTTTTTTTTTGTTTGTTTTTTGCGGACCGCGCAGCTACGGCGCAAGTAGTTGTCGCCTGATTGCAGCGTCCTGCTGCCTTCTTCTTGCTCCCGTTTCACTCCGCAGCCTCCTGCACCGTTGAAGAGAACGCCAAGATGATGAAGTGGAAGGACTAGTTGGTCCAAAAGCTGTTGGTCCGGTGCGGATGAAGAAGTGGGAGGTAGGAGGAGGGCGGACGAACGGGTTTACCCCTCCGCGCGGAGCATTCCGCATCAGCCGGGTGGCAAACGGGCTGGGGGCGGCTGAGGAGGGGTGAGTTGGTGGACGGTGGTTCGTGGGTGGGGGTGGGGGGGGGGTAGACCGAGGGAGGAGGGGTGTATAAAGATGCATCTTCTCCCCCACCACTGACAAATCAGTGAACATCAACATCTCCACCGCTCACAAATACACAGGCAAAAAAATGATGTATGTTGAAAAAATATTTAGTGCACGTTTTTAAAATCCATTTTGTTGAAGCTAAATGAATCTGTTTGTATCAAATTATTAATATTTTGTCGAAACCTTACATTTTGATTGATCCCAATGAAGGCCACTGACTATTCTTTCATTCGTTATTTTTCCACTTCCAATTTGTTTCTCTCCTTTTCCTTTCATTTATTCCGTTCTTCTCTTCTGTCATGCCTTGTACTTTTCTTTCATTTCTTCATCGATTTTTTTTTTCACTTTACAAGCCGGGATTCTAACCCACAACTGTGATACAGACGTACAACCGCTTGATCGTCCATGTGCTCTCTGCTTTCCATAATTAATTCTCGTTGAATTTCCTTGATTCAATTTAACTTACCTTTTCTTCTCTGGTTCTTTTTAAAAGAACATAAAGCCTATTCCATTTAGAACAATAAAATAAAATAATTCTTAACAAAGCTGTTTATCGGAGAAAAGCTCACAGGCATCTTGCATAAGGTGCACACAGAAATAACAGTTTTATTTATTATTAAACACTCTCAAGGATGAAGAGAATAAGAAACAGTATTAACCCATTGTGGTTTGTCTTCAGCGCTTCTCAAACTGCAGCGCATCACCATGGTAACACTGAAGCAGGTTAGAAGCCGGGCATAAATCAAGCTCAAAGGGAAGGTCATAATTTTCAGTTCGATGAAAACACTTTTAATAGCATGATTGCATGCAAATTAATTTAAAAGATGCAAATATTTGAGTTCCCATGAGAATGATTATTGAAATCAATCTTTGGATGCAACTTCTTTCATTCAAACATTACATCACAGAGGGCTTTCCAATGTAAAAGACGACGAAACTGACATAACGCTGAAGGAAGAGATCTACATCTCATCAAGTACTTATGTGTACTGTACTTATCTATTTATACACCTTTCTGTTTGTATATATATATATATATATATATAAAGTATCATTGAACCCATTTACCGTTATGGTCATTTTTTGGGGACTATAACGTGTTTTTCGGCAAACTACAATTCATTATGTTGAGTTTAATCGGGTCTCGATGCAGAATAGCAAACATGGACTCTGGGTGCTAGTCCGAGCTCTAGTCTATAAAAAAGGCTGTTTTGAGTGGACTGGACGCTATTTTCTGTCGGTTAAATCCGTAATTATGTCAAGAATTCAATGTGTTTTTCTCCAGAATTTGAAACCAAAGGTCAAACCTTCGCTCTTCCGACAAATGCTGATGTATAGTCAGACCGCGTGAGTGCATGGAAGGCTGATAGTGCAGCAAAAAGGTCAGATCCCAGTTCAGCACGAATAAAAGTTAAATTGATGTTCTTCAAAGCTGCTCCAATCCCCACCGACAGATTTTCCTCAAATTTACTGCAAAGGAATATCACTGCAATGTCCGCGTCTGATGCACAGATCTCAATGCAAGTATATCTTGGTGTCAGTCTTCCCCTGGAACATCAACAAACATACCGTGAGACTCAAGCTGATCTCCATACAAGGGGTCCTGCCATTCATTTGCCAAAAAACAGTGGTGTTGCTTCTTAAAGGACCTTGACTTGAGAGCATCAGTGAATGACATGGAACTCATCTCTGCTTTAGTCCACTGATGACAGAGGTCCTGCATGTCCCTTTCTGTGCCCTTAATCGAAGGTCACGGATAATCGTCAAAGACGATGCGTACTCTTTCAGCTGATGAAGTTAAGGTTTGGTTGAGAATACTTCTTTCTAAGCTTCCATATGTTGGTGGCAAATTCAGGGGCAAGCTGTGCAGCAGAAATTGGCCATCAATGATGAAAGGACCAACAATCTCTGGCTTCTCATTAATATCGTTCTTTCTTCACCAGGATGTCAAGGAGAGTACACTTATCCGTTCATGCCATGATCTCACCTGGCGTGGCCATGGACAGAGGAACTGAAACCAATGGGAATAGAAAAGCGTACACCAAGTCGTGACTCTTCTGTGTTGCCAGCACAAGAAATCAAGGATACCGTTTCAGGGCGGCAGTTTTTTGTTTGTTTTTTTTTGTCTTTGGTACGACGGTTAGTTGCACATCCATCTTGCATCCATCCATCCATTTTCTAATCTGCTCATCCTCACAAGGGTCACGGGCGTGCTGAAGCCTATACCAGCTGTCTTCAGGCAGTAGGTGGGGTACACCCTGAACTGGTTGCCAGCCAATCGCAGGGCACACGTAGACGACTAACCATTTACGCTCACTCACAATTTAGAGTGTTCCATTAAGGAAGTTAAGGTTTGGTTGAGAATACTTCTTTCTAAGCTTCCATATGTAGGTGGCAAATTCAGGGGCAAGCTGTGCAGCAGAAATTGGCCATCAATGATGAAAGGACCAACAATCTCTGGCTTCTCATTAATATCGTTCTTTCTTCACCAGGATGTCAAGGAGAATTTATCAGTTCATGCCATGATCTCACCTGGCGTGGCCATGGACAGAGGAACTGAAACCAATGGGAATAGAAAAGCGTACACCAAGTCGTGACTGTTCTGTGTTGCCAGCACAAGAAATCAAGGATACCCTTTCAGGGCGGCAGTTTGTTTGTTTGTTTTTTTTTTTTTTTTGCTTTGGTCCAACGGTTAGTTGCACATCCATCTTGCCTCCATCCATCCAGTTTCTAATCTGCTCATCCTCACAAGGGTCACGGGTGTGCTGAAGCCTATACCAGCTGTCTTCAGGCAGTAGGTGGGGTACACCCTGAACTGGTTGCCAGCCAATCGCAGGGCACACGTAGACGACTAACCATTTGCGCTCACACTCACAATTTAGAGTGTTCCATGAACCTGCTATATATATTTTTGGAATGTGGGAGGAAACCGGAGTACCCGGAGAAAACCCGCATAGGCACGGGGAGAACATGCAAACTCCACACAGGAAGGCCGCAGCCGGAATCGAACCCTGCATCTCTGCACTGGGAGGCAGACGTGCTAACCAGTCCACCTCTGTGCCGCCCCACATCCATCTTAAAACACAAAATATTGAAGGAAACTTCCAACCTAAAATTCTAAAAAAACTAATAAAATAGATTAAATCGTGTCAGACGCATAAAAACAAGAAGGGATAGATTCCTTCGTTCAAAAGCAGTGCTGGAAACTTTACTTCAAAGATAAATGAGTGAGACGTTTACATTATTCAACTTATTACAAGTTCAGGTTTTGGATAGTTGTGATACTGGTTTGCTGCAATTGGCTGGCAGCCGATTCAGGGTGTCCCCCGCCTACTGCCCGAAGACAGCTGGGATAGGCTCCAGCACCCCCTGCAACCCTTGTGAGGATAGAGCGGTTCGGAAGATGAATGGATGAATGAATGAATGATACTGGTTTGTCTGCTGTAGCTCACCGTGGTCCAAGGAATGATCAGGGAGTTTGAATCAATGCTCAGACACTTGAAAAATTAGAGGCAACATTGATTGTTAGATGAATTTAATAAGTCAGTCCTTGCCCAAGACACTCAAAGATGTTCACAGTAACTAGAAATTTCGCAATTGCAGCAGGCCTGCCTGAAGTCTTTTCATTTTACACTCCACTTAAAAGTATGTGAAGTGTGAAGTGATGCCCTCAGGTGGGAGGAAAGGCACAAGTAACACAAAAGAATATTAAAGAGTCCAATAATGCCATTATAATGTGAATAATGTGCGGGTTGTACAGTATCTGATGCTATGTTAGCAAATATGCAGACAATAAGATTTTTGAAAACAAACAACAACAAAAAATAGGCATTATGTTTTCATAATCAATAAATGTGTATTTGTTGTAAATGAAGGAACATGTTTTGCCTTCAGATAACGAACCAAACATGGGTGTTTTTGTAACCATCTGAGGAAACTTAAGCCTTTTACACACAAAATACTTCAAAAATACCCAATTCTCCTCTTCCAGTTGACGTCGGTAAAGGCCTGTGTATCAGATGTCTTGAAAGACAATCCTGACCCATTATCTTCATGTGTTGGTCATGTTAAATGGGATTTCTCTCACTGTTGGAGTCAATGGCTTGGCTGTCCTTTGTGTTGACCACACACGTATGGATTTGTCATTGTAAATATTGAACAGATTCAATGTTCACCGTTGTCAGTGATGAAAATCTTCCAATCAGATCATGGAGGAAAAAACACTTAACTCCGTATCACACAATAATCCGATAATGGGCCCTTTCTGACTTTGATTAGAAGGGGACCATTGGGTTGAAATTTTTGGTCCATATATATATATATATATATATATATATATATATATGTGTGTGTGTGTGTGTGTGTGTGGAACCAATTTTAAATGCAGAAAGCCAAATAGCTGTTACTCTTACCTTTACAGCTGAGCAAACCTTACATCGGTGTTTTTGGAAACAACACAAACAATTCATTAACACGCTTGACAAATGTGTTTTGAGAATCAGTGGTGTCAATTAAGAGGCTTTGCAACCACTAATGAGAAGTCAAATGTTTGAAAAGAGCTAAAATTAGGTGATCGTCTCCTACTGTAGCTTTACAATAGCAGTTACGCTCTTTACAATTCAGAATCCAGCTGCATCCTTGGTCCTGCCGCAGCTTTTTTTGTCACTGATTGAAGCTGAGTGTCGCAATCAGACTCCTATTTGCCCGCCTCAGCAGGCACCAGCTTTAGGCTGGTTCCATTTTAGGTCCATGCACATGTATTGGAGCCACAATTGACCCTTTCCATTTTTCTTGGGGTCGGGAGGAGTTATTCAGAATACCAAAAGGGCCATGAGTAAGTGTATTGTAATTAATGTGACATGATCTTCTACTTGTGTTGTATGTGATGCACACTGCGATGTACAATAGCCCAAAGGCAGAATGAAGGAGTCTAGCT